GCGGAAAGCAGCATACGGAAGCCAAATGCTTCCATTCCATAAGTAAAAGGAAAGTTACATATGGAAGTGTAAAAACTGTGAGGATGAGAGAAAGCTAAGGCGCAACATGCAACTATTTCGACACTTGAGAATGTTTTTGGTATACTTGAAGAAATGAAGGCGCTTTCTCAGTCGGAACACATTTTGCCGCATGGAACAACCACTCCTGGATCATTTTAGAAACAAAATACCAATAGCTAAAGTGCGAAACAACATATCTTTGTTTGCTACGTTGCAGACTTTCTGTCATGCTTTATTTCTTGGGAAAACTAGTCAATGCGATTTCTTGAAAGTTCCTTGGTTTTCCTTCTCTCTCAGCAGAATTTCCTGTACAAATTTCAGTCTATGAAGTTAGTTGGGCTCTCTTCGAAAAAAATAAAAATAAGCTAACATTTTGAAGTATCACAATGGAGATACGTGGTTTTGCACTTTTGCCATGGATGTCAGCTTCTCTGTATAGTCGAGTACTCCTGTAAATGAACCAGAAATAGTATTGCAAGTTTCAAAACCACGATAAAATTGGCAAATTGTCGCTTTTCTGACGTAAGGGCGCATCTTAGTTTCCAAGTGAACCCTGTGCTCTATTACATTCTATAATCGCCGCGGCTCATGTCGAAATTAAGATACGCGCCTTTACATCCAGTGGCGAGGCATGAATGTTCGATTATTATTGATATTTCCCCATTTAAAGCTATGATAAATAATCGGATATGAGGTATTCATTACTAACGCCCTGTTTATAGATCCCTTTCCATAGGTTTAAATAGAAGATCAATCGATGTATCGCAAAACGGCATGTTTTTATCAGAAGGGCGATGAAATGTCGCGTCGGTGGACGTTCCTTTTCCTCTGAACAGGTCACATGAGGGCCTCATTCTCTAGAAAACGAAGTAAAAATACTGGTTCAAACTATCCTTCGAAACTTTCCCCCTGCATTGCGACTTTACACCTAACTCAACCTCGAATCCAAAATCAAGGCTGATTTATTACCTACCAAATTCGCACCAGGAATCGGAAGCAAAACGATCCCCAAAATCAGGGTCGATCAGAAGCTCACCTGTAATCATTGTTCCCAAGAGGAGCTCACTAATCCTTTCCTCGAGATAAAACTCAATTTTCACGGTGCTTCACCCGGCTTTGTCTTGACCCTTTTCCAGGAGTAGGCTCTCGCGCAATGCACAATCGATTGGATCCCCATTATCCCCGCCTCTCGATTGTATTGTCTCTGTATTGTGCGTTGTCTTCGCTTTGTATTGTGTCCCAATCGGAAGCTATAGGCCGCTGGGAGGTCCTCCTCGCTTGGATCCCACCCGAAGCTACCGGCGAAGTCGGGAGGACGCCGGGGGAAGGGGGTCGTAAAAGGGACAGAATTTGACATTTACGACCGCTAACAAGTGTATAAAGAAAACCTGTAAAAAATGTAGACACTGTCAAGTGCCGAAATGACTGCATCATGCCTTCGAAAGCCGTGTTGTCTGGTCGCTGAAATATTATAGTCCGCTTGGTTTTAACAGGAAGACAATTTATTATTTCTTTTTCTTTAATTTTTATCCCGCCCTTATAATTTTTGTCCATTTTTTAATTTTTAAAATGATGGATTCATCACTATAAAGTGTGCCATTTTAATGGGTTTCAACCTCAATAATAATCTCTAAATACTTACCCTCGTTCAACCATCGGTGACAGAGCGGAAAATTCTTCCAGCAATGGATCATATTCGATGGTGGTTCAATGTATTGTTTGGATCAAAACAATCAAACAAAAAATTTAGATTTAAGTTGGAAAAGCTGGGAATGAGAAAATTCCAAAGAATTTCAATTTTCAGTGACATTTGGTACTCAAAAGAATGAGAAATCTATCACAAAAGACCTAAAAAAATACCTGTTCTCTCATATTTCTATATTGACTTTTGAGACTATGTTTAAATTTTGAACCAACCGATATCGATACACTTTCACTTGTTTGATTTATCGAATGGGATCTATTGGATATGCCGAATATCTTTTCGCAAATTCCACTTTTACCAGGAGAATTTTAAGTTTTTCTAACCGAAAATTTCACTGCTTTCTCTTCTGATCTCCAACAAATTCAGAAAATTTTTGACAAAAATCACACAATTACATTCTCGTGAAAAATTAAATTGTTTGAGTCAATTCTGCAATTTAGGAATGGAGTTACATTCCTTCGTTTTGGATACGACGAATAATAATTGATACCTTAAAGAAGCATCGGATCCCATAACATCGTTTCCACACATTTTTAATTAAAAGCTTTTTTAATTGAAAATCTCGCTGCTTTTTCTCCTGATCTCATGCGAAAATCAGAAAATTTTGACAAAAACAATTACACTATTACATTCTCGTGAAAAATTAAATTGTCTGAGTCAATTCTGAAATTTGAGAATGGAGTTACATTCCTTCGTCTTGGGTACGACGAATTGATACCTTAAAGGAGCATCGGGTCCTGTTATATCGTTTCCACACATTCCTTGGATAGCCAGAAGTCTATTAAACACTTTGTCACCAAGCTGGATAGTTTCCCGAAAATCTCATAATTTGCTCTAGTGTGGCAAGCCGGCCAGGCACGTTGCCAAATCTGGGTGGAATCCGATGCTTTTCCAACTTACCTCGCGGGTGCGACGGCGCTCTCTGACAACGCTCGAGTCGCCTGCCTCTGTCGGTAGCTCGGAGAACTTTTATTGCTCATCACAAACGATTTTATTGCCCACTCGCCCGCGCTCCCCGGCCGTTATTTGTTGATCTTTTCACACCTAACCATTCTTTTATGACCGCTTGTTTTCCTTCCACTTCAGATTTCACGGCAGCACGCGTCCTGCCCCGACTTCTTCTTCCTCGCTTGACCTCCTGTATCGGTGTCTAGTCAGGTCAATTGAAAACAAACCGAGGGTTTTCTTCTTCTTTCTTCACTCCGGTTGTCGTGTGATGAGTCATAAAATATCAGGTGTGCTTTTCGATTTAAATGGGGTGCGATTCTGTAAGCTCCCACTGCATTTCGAAAAAAGGGGACGTGGCGTGGGAGGTTTATTTATAGTTACAGCCTCCCTCAAATTTTGAGGAGCGTTTTTCCCTTTATTTTACAGCAAAAAATCTAGCACAAAATTATGACATACTCTGCTGTGCAACGCGAAAACGCCGTAAACGCCAGTTTACATTTTTTGAAAACAATGTATCGCAGCAGAAAAACTTATGTACCCTGGGACAATGTTTTCATAGACTTCTTTCGCAAATACTATCAAAAACTTAACCAGAAATTTTGAGGTACATGGGTAAAACGGTTTGTATTTTACGAAGTTTTAAGTTCCAAAACATGAGAGAAAATCTTGATGGATTTACGGCGTTCTTGCTTAGCACGGCAGTACTTTTTTATGACTTTTTTTGGCGGAGGGCTGTAGAAATGGAGCCAGGTTTTTATGTCAAGACATTGGTCGCTTTTGAAATTGAGATGCAACGGGATGACTTTTTATGAGTGAACTATGAATTAGATTTTTTTCCCAAGATGCTTTTCATATCAGTACTCGAGAGTCAAAAGGAACCATGCTCAATTATAGTCCTTTCGAGGTAACGAGAGGACGTGTCGGCCCTATTGATTCCGTAATTTTTGAAATTCCGTAGGTCATAACCACCGTAAGATAGGGTTACCAATTTTCTACTTTCAGGACTGTTATTGAAAATTTCCACACTTCTGTCTCGATTGTAGCAATAATGTGAAGTAAGTGCCAAACGAGAATAGACAGATTTTCTTGTAACCATTGCCGAATAGCCAAACCCGTAGTTCTTACACCAACAGTAAGTTCAAGAAATGAAGTCTTTCTACGTCTAAGAAAAATAAAATAAACAGAGAAAAAATTAAATAAGTGAATAAAAAAAGAAATAAAGAAAGAAAAAGACAGGAGTATTCCACTGAAATATTTGTGGAATATTCCACGATGAAATTTTACTTAATTTCAATAGTTCAATTCTTCCTTAAAGCTAGACTTAATCCTCAAAAATTAGAAACTAAGCTTATTATGTTATATAATTTTGAATGTTGTGTTTCAACTGGATGACTTTCAAGCCACTTGGCGAAAGGCGTCGGGTGAAATGCCAGGTGAAAATGTTTAAAATATTATAAATCACTTTATATTCTTCCGGAGCCTTCTCTTTATTTTGTCACACAGAAAGACTTAAAAATTTCCCTCTTCTTCTTCATAAAGAATGCAGTATAATTTCACTGAATTTCACAACGTAGGTCCTAAAAATCAATTTAATATAAGCGAAGAAAACAAATTGAAAATGTCTCTTTTATCAGTAATGGCTACTTTTTTCCTAATTACGCTCTGAATTTATAAAGTAAAGATTGAATTTTACTTTCAAAACTCAATTGATTTTTAGTGTATTATTTTAAATCATAAATAAATTCAATGAAGTCAGGGTAAATAAAATTGATAATTCTTGGTAGAATTATTTATAATGAATGTACGTTTAAAAGTTCATACCCTCGATTATTTGAGATCATTTGAAAGAAATTTCCTCGATTATTTACAAAATCTTCGTTCTGAAATTTAAACGGAACTTTTAACGACAGCAAGGCATTGGTGCTAAGATCATTCCCCACAGTATGAACGGTTTGCAGGAGTGGACGGACTTGGAGAAAAAGTTGAGCATTTTGCCGAGAGATAGAGTTGCTATGCAGTCCCTGGTGGGGTTTATCAACGTGGGGAAAGGGGGCTGGGCCTCGACGGAGGGCGAGAAAGACAGCCCCTGATTGAATAGGTAGTTAGAGAGAGATAGATAGGGAGATGCTGGGGACTATTTGAAGCGGCGCGGAGGAGCGCCTTGCCGCCGTTAACACACAGCAAACAATGGTTGTTACGCGGTCGTGACGAATTCGATTTTCATTGGCTCTCAGGAGCATATCCCCCTTCGAGCTGTTCCTTGCGCCTGTATCCATCACACTCCTCTTTACCACTGCGTTCGCTTTGTCTTAATGGTATCACTATCATATCAAATAGAATAATAATAACAAAAGGGAAATGGAGATAACTCAGATTCTAAAAGGGATCGCGCCAATTCAAAATCCGCCGTAGTAGGGGCTGTTAGAGTTTAGTCACATGGTTATAGCTATTCAGTTCGTCCGCTATCACTCTTATGAGCGGTACTTAAACAAAATTGTCTTTCCTCCTCATTGAAAATTTTTTCCTTTCCCTTCATTTTTCCCACGGTTTTCCGACGCCTAATTTTTTCGACGGCCACCGAATCGCTTTTTGATTGACCGCGGCTCGCGTTGGGATTTTTCACGAATTAACGCCGAATTTTTAACGCCCCGCCGTCAGTATTACCGCGTGTACCCGTGTGTTTTTTTTCTGATAAGAATCGGATTTTACCGGCCGGGATTCCCGACGGATTTTTTTGAAGTTCCCGAGTTTAAGTTCCGGAATTTTTGTGCCAAAACCCGTGACTTCTCCGCAGAATTCAGTTGGATCTGTTCCTCGCTCCGAAAAATTGTTATCAGTTACTCGTGAGTTCTTATCACCGTATCATCGCAGCTTGAATTTTTCCTCAGTGTGAATACTCTGGACCGAAATTTTTTTGAAGTGGTGCGGTGTGTTTTTCCGTAAAAAATAAAAATTATCAACTGACAAAATTATTAAATTTGTTTTTCGCTCTCCCCAGACAATGAATGTGTTCGCCAATTTCTCACAATTTTCCTGCAAGTGTCGTCACATCCTTCTCTGCTGAATAATCTCATCTAATCTCATTTAATTTTTAAGTGCTGTGTCAAACTAGCAAACATTAGCTAAATATCGCAAGTATTATCAGCGTTGATTTTTTTATCTGATAAGGTCCGTGCCGATAACCCCACCTCCAATTTTTCAAAACGCTCTGTCCTCAACTATGACAGCTCTCCAAAATGATTTCAACGGTGTTGGTTAACTACAAAAACAAACTGAAGCAGTGATTCGAACAGTGATCCCACCACGTGACACCAGTGCTATTTTTTTGTTTTTTTTAATCGTGTACTATATAAATTTAATATAAAAATTGCAATGAATTCGTACTTCGAGCAAACCGGATTTTACGGGGGTCACCACCACCAGACGGCAGGGTCCCATCACCACGACCAAGCTTACAGATTCCCCCTGGGGCTGGGGATGTCCCCGTACGCCTCGACCCAGCACCACCACCATGGCCTCCAGTCTCGACCCCAGGACTCACCCTACGACGCCTCAGTCGCGGCAGCCGCCTGCAAATTGTATAGTTCCTCGGCTGACAGCCAGACCAGCATAAACTACTCGACGAACAAGGGCGAGTGCACGAAAAATTCCGAGTCCGGACATCAGAACGGCTACGCGGCAGCTGCGGCCGCCGTCAAGGATATCTGGAGTTCGGCCACGGCGAATTCCGGGTCCGGGAACAGCCTGGTCCGACCGTCGGCCTGCACCCCGGACTCGAGGACGTACGGGTCGTCGGTGGGTTTGGTGGGTGGCGATCCGGGTTCCAGCCCTGGAGCCACCGGGTCCACGCGGACCTCGTCGTCGGCCACCCTCGGGTCCTCGTGGAACACATGCTCCCTCAACTCCACCACCGCCCAGTCCACCCAGCTCCACCAACAGGCGGCCAATAATCACACTTTCTACCCTTGGATGGCGATAGCAGGTCAGTCTTAGTCCTAGTTCTATTTATTTCTTGGAAATCTGTCGGCGGATGAAATTGTCAGGATCTAAATGGCAAAAAGTCAGTTTTTATGAAAGGGATAAGAGTTGTCGGTGGCTGAAATTTTTAGGATCTAAGTGGCAAGAGGTCAATTTTTATGAAAGAAATAAGAGTTGTCGGTGGCTGAAATTTTCAGGATCTAAGTGGCACGAAGTCAATTTTTATGAAAGGAATAAGAGTTGGCGGTGTCTGATAGTTTCAGAATCGGGAAAATTGTCTGTGTCTGAATTTTTAAGGGTCAAAAAGGCCAATTTTCATAGCAAAGAAGGGGCATGTCAATTGAGAAAGGCTGACAGAAGATACAGAAATTTTAAGTGATCTCAATGGAAAATTTTAAATGCCATTTTCAGAATCCAAGGGGCAAGGTGAAATTGGAAAGAGTAAATTATCTATGAGGAAGGAAGAGTCTGCGTATCGAAACTGGCCTGCAGAATCGTTTGTAGTGGTGAAGTTTATTTTTTTGCAGTTTTTGTAGGAAGACCATTTCTGAGGCCAGATCAAATACATTCAGGCATTATTGTTGATTTTGGATGAAAACAAACTGTAGCTAAGTAGAGAATTTACCGTAAGAAAAAATTGTCTGTGTCTGAGAAGTCGAGGATCAGAAAGGCCAATTTTCACAACAGAGGAAGGGCATGTCAATTGGAAGGGGCTGACAGAAGACACAGAAATGTTTAGAGAGAAAATAATTGTGTCCAACTCTTTAATGTCAGGATAGCGGGCGGTTTTTTAAGTATTAATTTTTTTTTATCAAGAATCTTGAATTTGGTGGCAAAATTACTATTTTACAGGGTAATAATTGCGCCAGACTTAGTCCTTTCTATTTGATAAAAAAAAGAGCAAAATTAAATCCTAGAAAAAATACAAGTGATTGGAGGAATTTTATCCTAACGCTTGATTGGTGAGATGTACTTCACGGAATTAAAACGGGTACTCACAGATTTTCATCACATTTTATGGAAAATTTTGTCAACCATTTCGTTCCTCTCGGCTGGTCCATTTGAACTGTGGGTATAAATTGGATTGACTGATCCCAAACGAAGGTTTGGTTAAGTAAATTCAATTCAATTTTGATGTATAACGTTCGGCGAGAGGAAAGAAAATTGCACGTAAGAGAAGTAATTTGCTAATTGAAAGAAATTGGCCAAGTTTTAAACTGTCCCTCGTTAAACACACGTGCACGCACGAAACGAGCAGTAGGTTTTTTGTTCCCTTATTTTACCAAGAAATATGAATTTGGTAATTTTTTGGCTGGTTTGGTTTTTATCATGAAATTGCATTTTTGTATTCATTTAAAAAACAAGAAAAAAACAACTAACTTAAATCATAGAAATGATCCATGTTGACAGTCAGTTTCATCAGAAAATAAAGAGTAGATTTTAATGCAGATCGAGAGAAGCAGCAAAATTATGTTGCTTCATACAAATTTTTAACTGATATTTCCAATCTATCAACAAGCAGACCCTATACCTAAAAGAATAGAAATTATCGCCTCTCGCTAACTGCGAAAATGTCCGTTTTGAGGGACTGCCATCATACTAAAAAATAAAATATTTTCCGCCAAAATAGTAAATGCGTTAAAATGAGATTGTACCATCCTCAGGTCTTTAGTTTTTTGTTAGTATTTTATGCAAATTACTCATTGAATTTTCTATATAATTCACATCAGAAACATCTGTTGTTTTTTTAAATCTTGAAGATGCATTTTTTGTAAATCTCGATCAGCGCTCACAATTTTATCAACCTAAATATTTACAAATCTCTGCATTCAGACCTAAGACATAAAGCTATTCAGCGGGCATAAAATTCTTTGTGAAGCATAATCCCTCACTTAATAGGACTTTGATCTCTAATGAATCATTTCGAGTTATTTTTTAATGACAGAAAAAGGAGATCAATGGCCAAGTATAAAATACTGCGAAAAATAGTCATAAAGCAGACATCGCTCTGATTTGAATAAAATTGCGTTCAATGGGAGGCCCGCAAGGTGTAATATATCTCTAAGCTAGAATGCTTCAACTAAACTGTGTATTTGATTTTCTGAGGCTGGTACCCGGGTAAACTGGGTGAGGATTCATATTTTTCCTTTTAAATTTGCGTGTTTCAAGAGTTGGAATATATGTTCAATTAGAACCTTATCGGCATTTTCTCAATATCCACAGACTTTGAGACTAATTTTACGGTAGTCCCTTTCTCTGTATATTCTGAGAAATGAAAAGATGGATATGGCGTAGAGAAAATTTCAAGAATACAGAGTCAGTTTTTACATTATGTCTTAAAATTAAAATGAGTGGAAACAAGGGAAAAAAACCGGAGTTCTACCGGCCTGGATAACGAAATCAAGCTTAATTTTCAAGTTGTGAAAAACGGGTGAAATTATTGCTTGTTCGTCTAATAATAATAATCATTGTATTACAACTATCCATCTTGAAAGATTGATGCTGAGATCTTGTAGCTGATTTTACGGCTCTTTATATCGTGCGAGTTTCTACAAAAACTTAAGATCTTGGGGTTTTTTATTCTTGTGCACCAATGCACGTTACTTATGAATTTTTTCAATGCATCGAATGTAAGTTATAGTGCCTAAAAATTGATTCCTAAAAATCCTTAATTTAAACCACTTCAGTTCGTAACTGTGTCGAGGTATTTACTTTATCAGTACTTAACTGAATGTTACGGATCAAAAATAGTTTGAATTATGTTTCATCTTCAGAGAGGAAAAATTAAGAAATCTTGAGTACTTGTTTCAGTATATTGCTTGGAGCTTTTGCAATTGAGCTCTTGCTGATGAGTTTTCAATTATTTCTTGAATTTCTTGAAATTCTTAGCAGAGAAAATTTCTGCTAGCTCACCAGTGTATTCTAGCGGTCAATTATCAATGTAACTTTCATCAAAGTTTCCCCACTTCAACTTATGCCCAAGTCATAATTATGTGCCCAAGTACAAGTCAATTACCAAACCACCAATAATTAAAGGTATAAAAAAATCATAATGAAAGCATGAGAAGTCACAACAACATTATATGAATGTTCATTTGATAAAAAAAAAGATCCAACACTTATAAGTTCAGAACGGATAATTATACTAAAAGAAGTTCCAATTAATCCTCTCCAGACAAAAATAAAATATAAACCGCCGATATCTTTATGATTAGTCGAAAAAGCTCAAACTTTCATACTTATTATTAATAGTTAAATTATTCCCCACTAGTCAATTATTCCCCACGTATGCCTCAAAACTTCTCAACAATCTCATAGGATATTCTCTAAAAAGCGGAAACGAGCAGCAGTCAAACATCCCATTTCAGCTCCCAAATCAGAGCCTCCAGATTGATCCAAATGAGATAATTAGATCCAGGGCGTTAAACGAAGACATCCATCTACATTAGCCCCGTGTGCCCTCAATTTCCTGAAGAGGGTTGTCGCGCGAGTCACCCCTACGGGTACCTGCCGTAAGCGGAGTCCCTTATTGTTCTCGTGTGCCTAACAATCGCCCTCAAACATTATTATTGGTTTTTAACTGTTCGATAATGCACTCCGTCGTCGGCCTTTAGCCGGGGCATTGTCCCTTAGTTGACTGCGGTCTTGTGAGCGAGGGCCACCGTTCTGCTCCCGGAGAACCCTGCCAGGTAGGGGTCTGAGTGTGCTCCATATATTAGAGGGGGCTCGGCTCTAGCTTGAAATTATAACTTCCTGGGCTGTGGAGTGTTGTTTTTATGGTGGTTTTTTCACCCTGTTTCTTTTATTTTTACCGGTTTTGCAAACTTTGTTTACATTCCACTTGAAGTAAGAAGGGAGGTTACGAAAACAGGGAAGCACAAGAAGGGACTGAGTTATTAAATATATAGAAACACTTGAGGTTTTTTGCTTTAGTTTTTCATAACTACTCGTAGCTGCCACAATAAAGAAAAATGGAAACAGAATTTCTGAGTATCCCTACTATTTGACCTTTTTGGTCCAATCGACGTAATTCCGTCAACCTCCGTTTTGAAATCGAGCGACTTGCATATTCATTCAGAACCTTATTGATGAAATTCAAAATTCTGATACGAAGTTAAAAAAAAAAAAAAATTAAAATTTGACTGTGAGGAAGTTTCGGAGCTTGACAGTAATAAGTATTCTTGGTTCCTTGTATTTTTTGTCCGGACTCTTTAAATATTCTTGCTGAAAAGTAAAAAAGTTTCAAGTGTATAGTGCTATAAAAAAATATTACTTTTTTAAAGTAATTCATCTTTCAAAATTAATGAAGGTTGCACTAAATGCTTAAATATTTTATAATTCATTTTGCACCAGTAACTATATCTTTTGGCGATGAATTACAGCGGCAAAGGTAGTTTTGCTGATCATAATTTCTTCCCTTTAATCCCTGAAAACGTATAATATTTTTGTAAGTTCGAAGTTTCGCTATTCTAACTGGAATTATACATTCAAATTCAGAGGAAACTTTGAGGGTTTTAAAATTGAAAACGCTTAAGGTAAACACGGAAAATTCGATTTGATTATTATATTTCAGAATCATTGTGCCATTTTTAAAAGACGAGGTAGTGAAACAATATGTTTTTTTACACACCTGCAAAAATTGAATGTAACAGATCTCAGTAATTTCACCTTATGAAAAATTAACAGAGGCAAGATTTGCCGTAGAATAGAGGCTGATGCTGTTGAACACTTTCGAGAACTTCAGTGAAGATATGAATGGCTCTTGAGTGAATACTTCCAGGCAAATATACCATCTGTAAAGGAAATAAAAACACAAGAGTATTAATTCAGATCGAACTCAGATATAATAATTTGTTGATTCAGCAATGATAAAGTTTTTCTTCCTTTTGTTTGTCTTTATGGCGGAATAAAGCAAGTCATTTCAATCAATTTCCTATAAGAGTGGAAAAAAAAATGCGAAAATGATAAGCCTCTTGCAATATTTAAGTTTTGAATCCTAAGTTT